AGGGCCCCGCCCCTGGGCGCCGACAGGCCCTGCCTTTCTTCTTCGCTTTCTCCGCGGGGCCTTCCCAGTCTGGTCCCCCTGACACTCACGACAACCCAGCGGCAGAGGGCCAGGTCATCTCCTTACGATGAGGAAAAGGAAGTTCAGCGAGGTTCAGCAGCTTGCCCAAGGACACACAGCGGACTCGCACTGTGCTGGAAGGCTGCGCCTGAGGTCTCTGCATCCCTGCAAGTCTGCAGGGACCCCTCCTCCCGGGCGCCGGCGCCTAATCCTGGCGCTTACCTGGTGAGAAGGAAGGAGTGCTAGCTTCCGTAACAAAGTGCACACTCTGGGTGGCTTAGAACAGCAGAAATTGATTCTGTCACCATTCTGGGAGCTGCATGTCTGCGACTGGGGTGTCTGCCCCAGGCCTCTCCCTCCACACTGGTGGTGGGCCGGCAACCCTTGGTCTTCCTTGATTTGCAGAGACTTCACCCCATCTCTGCCTCATCACAGGGCGTTCTCCCTGTGTGTCTCTGTCCAGATTTGCTCCTTTTGTTAGCACGCGGTCATCCTGGGTGAGGGCCCACCCCAGTGACCTCATCTAAACTACTTACAGCTGCCACGATCCTGGTCCCCAAAAGGTCACATTCTAAGATACTGGGAACTAGGGCTTCAACGTAAGGATTTGGGAAGGACACCATTCAACCACAACAGAGTAGAAATGCATCCTGCTCAGGTCCCTATGCCATTTCTTACTGTTGCTGTGGTAACAATGACGACAGTGGAAGGGCTCAGTGGAGGCCCCTACTCTCCCCAGCAGAGGTCCTCCCCGCCCTGCACCTGGGCCGCCACCCTGACTCCAGGCCTCTGGCTTCCGTCTCCTGTCTGTGACTCCACCCTGAGCTCCAACCTCCATCCCCGCACCCACCCCACCCGTTTAACAAGTGCTGGCCCCAGCCGTGTGCCAGGCCCCAGACGTCCGCACAGAGGGCCCTCAGCATCGCAGAGCCGCCAGCTGGCCCCCCTAGACAGGCTTCCTCGCCCCCAGGCCCTGCCGTGAGCCAGCACCGCTGCTCCTTGTAGTCTTGGGGGCTTGCAGGGAAGTGCCCGGCTGGATGTGCCAGTGCCCCCTCCCCGAGCCTGCCCCTCCTCCAGGCCTGGCCCAGATGCTCACTCCTCCAGAAGGCATCCAGCTTCCCCCAACTCGAAGGGTCCCTCCACGGTGCACACAAGCAGGTCTCTGTGCCTGGCGCTGGATTCTGCTGGGTGGGAATGCTGGTGGGCCGTCGGTGGGGGCCCACAGGGAGAAGCGGGTGGGCCCCAGGAAAGCCCATTCCAGTCGTCTGGGCCTGGGCCAGCCTGGGGCCACTTAAACTACAAAAGGAAGACTGTACCTGTTTTTGTCGTATCAACAGTGTTTACACCGCTGGAGCCCGGGGCCGTGCACTGGGTTATTCACCCATGTGTTTCCAGGCCTTGAACAATAGAGGCTTGTATTACCCAGCAAACAGCACTTTTCCACTTGACTAGATCACACCGCTTAGCAGTGAAAGGGACACCCCTCCCCGCCAGGACTGCGCGCAGCCTCTCCATCTGTCGGCCCTGAGGGACCAGGGAAGCCTCAGGGGCCCAGTGACCTGGAGGTTACAGCCAGCTTTTAACTGTCCCATCTGAACCTGGCAAATGGTTACTGCTTTATCCAAGATGTTTAGTGCTGCACAGGTACGAAAAGCAGGGGAGGAATCTGTGTTTTGGGAACCCCTCTTACGTGCTAGGCCATTTCACATGGTATCCTGGGGCCTAGAACAGTGGCCCGGCACATAGTAGGTGCTCAGTTAATATTTTTTGAAGAATGAACGCAGTCAGGCAGGTATTACTACTATGCTCATCCCACACATAGACACAGAGGTCAAGTCCCTCGCCCAGGGATCTGCAGCCAGTGTACGAGTTATCTACTGCTGTGTAACAAGCAGCCCAAACTCACTGGTGTGAAACAACTATCATCTGCTTTGCTCATGAACTTGCAGTGTGGGCAGGCCTCGGTGGAGACAGCCCCATGTGGGGTCAGCTGGGGTCCCCACACCAGTGTGTGCTAGGACCCCTGAAGACAGAGCACATGTGGCTGGGAGCTTGGCCCACATCCTGCAGGTGGTGGCGCTGCTCCCCACAGCCCTCTCCCGGCAGCCTGGGCTTCCCTGAGCCCAGCAGCTGTGTCCTACACAAGGGTTCCATGAGAAGCTGGTGGAAGCCCTGTCACTTTAGTGATCCAGCTTCTGAAGTCACACGGCTTTGCCTCCACCGTGGTCACCAGCCCGCACCCGGATTCAAGGGCAGGGTTCCCTGCTCTCAATGGGTGGTGGGCCAGTCACACGAAGACCTTGCGGGCTGGGCACTGTTGTCACAGCTGCTATGGGAAGGTGCCCTCTGCCCTCGCTGACCAGTGGGTGGAGGGGCTGAGCCGGGAGCCAGGTCTGTGTAACTCCAGCCCCCTCTGGGGAGCACCCCCGCCCCTGGTGTCAAGGCCAGATGTGGTCTGAGCCCCAGACAGAGCATGGCAACCCCAGCCCGCTGGGCCTGGCCGACCAGTCTGACCAGAACAAATCTCAGGCTCCCACCTGGGCACCAGGGTACGGTGGGTGGGCCAGCTCACTGGACCGCAGCCCAGAGGACGCCAGCCCGGGCAGCAGGTGTTGTCCTGCCACCAGGGACAGAGAGCCCCCCTCCCCTGCCCCCAGGAGTGAAGCCAGCAGACCCAAGGGTGAGGAGAAACCATCCGGATCCTAATGCCATCACCCGGTCCCTGGATCAGCCTCTGTCTGAACCCAGATACTGCTGATCTTTCCACTTCAATAAACTCTGCTGCCAAAGTGTAATTTTCAAAAGGCTCCCAGACAAGTAGACACTGAACACGTGTCAGAGCTTTATCTAACCTGGTGACAAGGGAACTTGGCTAGATGGTGAGGCTGGTTCAAAGAGGAATTGCTCAAAGCCTGACCCATCCATGTGCCGCCGGAGGAGACAGACTGCTGAGTTGGACAGAAGACTGGTTAATATCTTACAGAACAATAAAGCCATAGCCTTTCGGGTTATCTTCTCTGCCAGACAGAACTCTCTCGCATTTTATGGGGGAACTGCTCACGGCTTTCCCATTTTATGCAGGTTGGTGTCTAGCTGTGTGGCACCTGGGCCCGCTGGGCAGTAAATGGCGAGCGAGACACAGCGGCCCTCCTGGGGTGCGATGCCACTCAGGCAGGCCAGTGAGACAATGACCCAGTGAAGGGACACACTGTCACCCATCGGCCTCATTTCTGCCAATTCTGTGTTTTTCTGAACACAGCTTGCATGGCTCTCCTGGGCCGGGGGTGCTTCAAACACGATAAACATACACTCCTGCAACTCTGGAGGCCAGAAGTCTGAAGTCAGGTGTCATAGGGCCACCTCCCTCTGGCAGCTCCAGGGGAGGGTCCTTCTTGCCTCTTCGAGTGTCTGGGGGCCCCGGTGTCCCTTGTCTTGGCCACATCCCTCCTGTCTCTGCCTCTGTCATCGCGAGGCCGCCTTCCCCGAGGCTCTGCGTCTATCTCCTCTTTTCAGGAAGACACCAGTCACAGCGTTAGGACCAGGATGAGACACAGGGGAAGGGCCACACAGGTGGCTGGAGAGGCCTCCCTGGACCCAGTGGAGCTGTGGGCACAGAAGAGGGGGGCAGAATGGAGCCTGGAAGATCCCCAGCATTTGGCATTGGGTGCTGGAGGGCAGGAGGTGGAGGGGCAGTGGGGGGGGGGCACCTGTACCTCAGAGCCCGGAGCTGGGGGCTCCTCCTGACGTTCTGCGGACACGGGGGCGGGAAGAGTGTTGCTGTGGGTGGGCCTGGGGTTCGGGGGTGCAGGCACTTCGCCGGATGGGAACATCGCCAGATCTGACCAGAAGCGACTCCTCGCTCAGGGGTCCCATTTCCAGGAAGTAATCTTAGGGCGTCCCTGGCGACTGCACAGAGACGTGCCCGTGGGTGTTGGAGGAGGAAGCCAGGGATGGGAGGACAGACAGGCAGGCCCAGCCCAAGACAAGGCTGAGAGGAGAAGGAGCCTCCCGTCCCATCCCTGCCACCTGGCTGTCGAGAAATTCGAGCAGGGGAGGGGCCGGGGGCAGGCGGAGGCTCTGGGCCGATGCTGCTGGCTGTCCGGACAGGGGGAGGCGAGGGCTCCGTGGGTGTGTCCGTGTCTGAGCTCAGCGAATCGCGCGTGTTAACACGTGGTGTTTTCCGTTCATGAACAAACTGGAGCAAAAAGGCACAGGCGCAGCTGGGCAGAAGGAAGCGCCAGCAGGTGGCACGTCGGGGGCTCGCCGGACTCCCCAGGGGAGCTGGGACGGCACCTGCCACCTACTCCAGCCCAGAGACCCTTCTGGAAACTCGCATACTCACTCTTGCCGCTTAAAAACATAGGTTCGGTTTATCCCCGCGCCCCCAGGCTGGCTCTGGGGGTCAGAGGTCGGAAGTGGCTCCTCAGGGCGGGTTCCCCCGGAGGCCCCGGGAGGCCCCCTTCCTCCGCCCCCTCCTCCCTTGGAGGCCGCTGGCTCCTCCAGGACAATCTCATTTCCTGCCCCAAACCGCCTTTGCCCGATCCGACACATTCATGTTCTGGAGGCCGTCATCCTGTCCGCCGTGTGACTCCGTGGACGTGACGCGGGGGACGGGGATCGGGCGCAGGGGGCAGGAAGCAGGGTCGGGGCTATTCTCCACCCTGACCGTGTGACCAGTACCACAGGCACTAGGTGGACGCACGCTGACTTAGTTCTGTGAGCCATCCTGGGCGGACAGGAGCCCCAGCTCACGACCCAGTCAGGGCCTCGGTACCAGCCGCTCAGCACGAATGACCCAGGGAACCAGGGCTTAGAGAGCCGGCCTCCCTCACTGCAGCCGTGCCACTGCACCGCTGGACAGGCTGCCTGTGAGGCAGTGAGCGCCCCGTCACAGAAGATACGCACACCGAGGCTGGGATGGGTAAGGAAGGGCCCTCAGGCTGCCCTGGCTCTGGGGTCTGAGCAGGGGCGTGGACGGCGCCCCGGGAGACAGGCCCCGTGGTGAGGGGCCCATGCGGGGATGGGCTTCCCGCCGCCTCATGTTGGGGCAGGCGGTGGGAAGCAGGCCCAGCCACTTCTGGTGCCAACAGCCCTCCCAGCCCTCAAAGCAGCACCTCCTCCCCTCCCAGCCAGGCCACCAGGGTTTAGGAGACCAGAGTGCGGCACAGCCAGACGGGGCCTGTAAACCTGGCCACCTGTTGCCCGGCAGGCCCTGCCCCAGCCCCGGCCCTGTCCCAGCACAGCCAGTGCCTCTGCCCGGGTGACACTGTTTGCAGAGCCACCAAGAGGCAGAGTGTCATTTGGGTGACCTTGCCGTCGGGGCCTCTGAAGGCCAGGATTTGAGGCATCTGCTGTGCAGACCTCGTGGGCCGTCCCTGGGCTCCACGCCTGGTGTCCCCCACTGGCCCAGGCAGAGTGGAGCTGGGTGGACGCAGGCGGTGGTGGGTTTGGGAGAGGCTGAGGGGTCCTGTGGGGCAGGGAGGCCCCAGGCCCTTGAGTCCCGGCTCTGATGGAGGAACCGAGCAGGCTGACAGCCGCGGGGGGCAGGCCGGCCACTGCGCCGCCTTCTTCCCAGGGAGGCGAGGAGTAAGGATGCAGCCCCCCAGACAGCCCCCCGGCCCCCGGGCCCCCCGCCACAGACTCGACCCCACATTCCACACACGCCTGTCACTTTAAGCCGCCTGGCTGTCCCCAGGAACTGCTCATTCCACATTCTCGGGGTGGTGGGGTGGGTGGGGTGCTGGCACGCCCTCCAAGGAGGACTTACAGGAGCGGGGCGTTCCCTGGCAGGGGAGCTGGGCCTCGCCACCCGCCGGCCTCATGGCCCTGCTGCTCCTGGGGCTCCTGGGGCTCCTGGTGCTCTGGGGGCTGCTGCGCTCCTGCACCTGCAGCCCCTCCCCAGCCCCTCGCTGGCCCCCGGGGCCGC